TGGCGGCTCTGCTCCTCCGTTACGCGCCTGAAGCCGCCCAGGTGGGTCTTTGCCGCCCTGGGGTGTTTTCCTCCTCCCCGGTGTAACGGCAACCGGCAAAAAAACCCATCAACCGAAGCGTAAGGGAGCGGGTGAGAGCCCTCTGGAACGCCGGCGAGCATCAAAAAGCTGTTAACGTCGTTAAGGTTTGTTGGGGAAGTGATTTGTGAGGGGAAGAACCCATCCTCCTCCATCAGAGCAGCAAACGGCGTCGAGTTGGCGAGCGTCGGCGCGCTCTGCCAGCTTCCGCTGGCTTTCAGCGTCTCTTCAAACGAAGAAACGAGGCGCGTGGAGGTGGAAACCGAAAGTCAGTCAGCCAAATCGAAGGTTAACAGATGAATACCGCTTGGTTAAAGTCCCTGGATGAAGTTTGTTCGGGTGTGAGGTGGCGGCACACGGGTAAGCACTCCAGATCTGAGCCCAGCGCGACAGCCCGGATCCTCCGCCCCTCGCCCGTTTGGAGCTCTCCATGCTCGTCCCCAACTTGAATTCACACTTCGCTTGTGTTTGCATTCAGGGAAGGTCCCACGAGGGTGATTTTTTCGCTGTTGAAAACATTTTCTTCTTTTTTTGTAACATAACTATGACTGCAGCAGGATTTTATAAATAGCGATGCCATTTCCACCTGCGTTTTATCAAGTTCCTAATACCCCGCACGTCGCTTCTTAGGCAGAGATCATTCATAATTCATCCGGACATCGTGTTGATACAGGCTCTTTGACAAGTTACTCTTTCCAGGTTCCCTCTGTCTCCGCTTTCAGCTTGGTGGAGATCTGATGCCTGGCATCTCACATGATTTTGAAGTGTTTTACCTGTTCTTTGGACATAAAAATGAGATGAGAAACTGCGACAGGATTAAAAACACCTTAAATGTGTGTTGAATCATCCTTTATGACTGCTGGTTTCTCTCTACCGTCAGCTGAGCAAGTCTGAATAAACAACCCTGAAGTGTTTAGGCAGCTAAAAGTTATTCCCGAGGAAGGTTTTGTTGGCTTTGTGATGTTAATGAGCTACTTAAAGCCTAGATCTTCCCTTCGCCTCGCAAAACTATTAATAGATTAAAATCCCTGAGCGTGTTGCAGCTTTAGAGAAGTTTTGTCGTGGATTTATACTGTTACATGGTATAAAAATGAGCGAGTCCTTGCATATTTGGGGTTTTATAAATAAACCTCAGGTGTAGTCAGGTCGGCTTATACCCAGCCCCTTTATTTTTAGTTCTCTGCGTGTTGAGAATCGTACGGTTCCATGCAAGTGGGTTTTTGAGGAGAGCACCCTTTACAGTCAAGCCTTGTGTGTGATAGATTTAATTTAAATGCTTTGTGATTCCAGCAGAAGACAAACTTTATTCTCCATGGATAAGTCCTTTGCTGAAATCAGTGGGACAACCTCGGACCTCTGCTTTTGGAAGGACTTGCCTCCTGGACCCCAGCTTTTTTTTTGGTGCATGTTAAACTTGATTTCTTAGCACTTCACATAGACTGAACAACGTAAATCTCTTGACGTTGCTCTGTCGTTTCTGGATTCGCTCTCTGCTTGTACATGGGTGTGGAGAAAACTGGTTCCCAAGCTTTTCCCTCAGCTCAGGGAGCGCTGTCTTGGGAATCAGCTGGGAAGCAGGACACATGGCACACTCAGCTCAGTAAAATTCACTGCTTGATCCCTTCCAAGTTGTTTTTTTTTTTTTTCCTGCTCTGCTCTTTTTCCCAAGAGAAGGCAACGATGATTTATGCCGCTGATTTTTTTTTTCCCTCCTGGGGACGTTTACAGACAGTGCTGCGCTGCTGCAGAACTGATGGATACAACCTCTGCTCGCTGCTACCGAGTCATTAATACCCAAGTGTCTCATCTCGTGGGTTTTTTTACATAATATTTAGTTTCAAAATTAGACATTGAACTCTTAATTACCGTGTTGTTACGCTGTACTGAAAGCTTGAGGTCATTGCTTTGAAAGCTTGAAGACTTCGCTTAACCCAGATTTCTTCATTCCTTGAAAGAATATGATAATCGTGGTAATACCTGTACAAACTTAACGTGCCCTGCGTCTCAACAAGCCAGATGCCAACATATACACACGTAACGTAAAAGCAGGGAGGTTTATCCTGTGGAATCTGGAGGCACTGAGAGGTGGGACTCTGGCTAAAAACGCTGCGTTTCGGGCTGAGCAGCCTCCCTTTTCCTCGAGGTTTTGTGCTGGGGCCAAGTTATTTTTGCCTCTTGAATTAAATGTACCCAAGGTTTTATCAAAGACAGCTTAAAAATCGAAAGAGAGGAACTCGCTTTTGATCTGGCGTGCGGTCGAAAGCACAAGGGCTGATTCTGTTTTTGGCGCTGCCGGGGGAGAAACCGAGTGATCTGCCCAGAGAAAGGCTTCCTGCGTTGGCTTCGCTTTCTCTTCCCGCTTTTCTCCAGCCGGGAGTTCTGCGCGGACTGGGACGATGCCTGGTGACAGCCAGGGGTTTGGTGTCACTTGGTGTCACACGACGTAATTGCGTGCGCTGCGCAGCTTGTTTTCGAGAGGTGAGGTAAGGCGCTGGAGCGTTAAACTTGAGCTGTGGATTTCAAGTCAGGCTTTGGAGTGGCTGCAATCAGTGGGTCGGAGGTTTGTCCTTAATTTCCGTGCTCTGTCTCGACCTGAGCCTCCCTGCGAGCCCCACCGGCAGCTGGAAAACCACATCCCGGTGCCATCCCGCTCCCGCCGGAGAGCGAAGCTCAACGGCGAGTGGCTCGACCTAAAAACACCCGACGGCGGGAAAGGAAACGATTCGGTAATAAGGCTCAGATTTGAAAAGGCGACGTGTTGCGGTTCCTGTTTTGCCGGTGCTGCGGTTTCTGTAGAGTTAAAAAATACGGCGGTAACCTTTTTGCCCGCCATTTCTTTGGGTGACGTGTGCTTCAGGTGATTGCCCGCGAAAAAATAAAGTCGTTAAGAGGGAGCGACGTCGTGTGCGCCCTCGGTGGGTGTTGGACACGTGCGTGCAGGGAGCTGGGGGCTGCAAGGGAAAAGTTTGGTAAAATTGGGGGCTGTCTCGAAAAGTAAATGTTTTGCAAAATGGGGGGTTGTTTCCATTTTTTGGAAAATTGGAGGCTGCCTCCAAAAAGGAAAAGCTTGGCAAAATCAGGGCCGCCTCCAAAAATGTAAAGACTTTGCAAAATTGGGGGCCGCCTCCAAAGAATAGAAAACTTCCTGCGAAATCAGGGTCTGCCACCAAACATAGAAAAGCTTGGCGAAATTGGGGGCTGCCTCCGAAAGGGGAAAAGTTTGGCAAAATCGGAGGCTGCCTCCAAAAAGGAAAAAGGTTTTGCTGAATTGGGAGCTGTCTCTAAAAAAAAAAAAAAAATAAATATTTTGCAAAATTGGGATGCGATTCCAAAAATAGAAGAGCTTTGTAAAATTGGTGGCCCCCTCCAAAAATAGAAAAGTTTTGCAAAACTGGTGTCTAAGGTGCAGAAAAGCAACCTAAACCTTAAAAGAAGGAAGGAAGTGTGCGCACGTGTGATTTTTGGCTTGTGCGGGCTCTTCCTCAGCCAGGGAATGTTTGCAGGGAGATGGGGTCACTGAAGGGAAACTGCACATCCAGGAGGGAAGGCAAGAGGAATGGGGAGAAGTCCAAAAAAATTTGGATGCGTAGGAAGCCGGACTTCAGTAGTTCTACTTGTGGATCAATTTATTTTTCTGATCAGAGTAGTAAAGGTGATAAATTGTTTTCCTGCAGGAAAGTGGCAGCCAAGACTCTGGGAAATGTGTTCAGCAAAATACTCAGCGCGTTGCTTTTGATTTCAAAATTTAATTTAAACAAGCTCAAGGTTTTGTTGCTGGCTGGGGACGCGCGGAGCTTATTTAGCCGATGCCCTTTGAGCAGGTGAAGGCGTTTGCCGAGCTTGCCGTGCGTCTTCCGGGGATCGTTGTGGTGCCGGGGATGCGGATTCCACCCTGGGAACTTTGGAAAAGGTTTAGAATGGAGAGACGATTTATTTATTGCTCTGAAACCAAAGAGCCGGTGAAGTCGCGGCGGGAGCTCCTGCGTGTCGTGGCTTTTTGCTGCTTCTTCCACTGGGGCGAGTGCTTCATCCTGCCGCCGTTTCGGAGCGAGACACCAGACCGAAGCCGCCTCGTTAGCACAAATCTTGCAATTAGTGCGGAAAAGTGGAGGGAGCTGATTTCTTTTAGTAGCTCGTGTAATAGCAGTACTCACCTTGCTCACGTACCGGGATATCTGATATTCCCTAGGAAAAAGGACACTTCTGCTGACGTAACGCAATGGAAACGGCCGTTCTCGGTGCTGGTTCGGTTCTTCGGAGGATTTATCCCGCAGCTTTTCTCCTGTATGAACGTAGCTTTGCGCCGTCGTTATGTCAAGCCCCTTTTAAAGCCGATTTCTCTCTCGGAACACGGTCTTTTTTTGAATTCTCGGTGTTTCAAAACATCTCGTTGACCTTTAGATTGCTGAAACGATCTGAAACAAGAGCATCGGGCAAGCTTCAGGCACGTTTCCCAAAACAGAAACGGGAGAAGTGCAGCTGTAATTAAAAAGTTCATTGTTTTTAGGGTTAATTAAGGGAAGAAGCAAACCCTGTGATGCCAGCAGAGGCGATCCTTCTAATAGCTCCGTTCTTCTCCTTGCAGGTTATGGCACCTGGAATACTGGGGCCACCAACACTCAAGGTGAGTTTTGTGTATATGAAAATAGATCTGGGGAATTGCAATTTTAGAATATAACTTATTTTTTCTTCTTTCCAGCCAGAGGAGTGTCATACAGAAACAGGTTTTCACAGCCCTCCTTCTTCTCTACCTGCTTTAGTGACTTTCTACTTGTTTTCCGATAAAAGCTTCCTCCGTGATACACGCCCGTTCCCAGCGTTGTGTGCTGGAGGAACTGGTCGCAATCTTGCGTATGATCGATAACGTGCTTTGCTTTATCTCCTGAGATTTATTAGCGCTGTAAAACGAAGCGTGTCCTGGGGTGTTCTGTGAGTTTGGGCTTTCTCCTTCGAACTTGTGTCCAGCCTAAACAGTAAAATCAGCACGGCTCTCCTGAAAGCGAGAGTTACCATGAACATACTTGCTTTTGCTGTGGTTTTACTGCTACCTGGGGGGGTTTTAATGGTTAATTTGAGTTGTTTTCAAGTGCAAATATATGAAAACATTTAAAAAATGTATTAAAAAAGTATATATTATCCATATCATTGTCATAATTAGCTCTTGGAAGTTTTAGCTTCTTTCTTGCCCATTCTGTGGGGGAATTTTTACCAGCAGTTAAACGGAGTTACGTCTCTTTAGTCTCTGAGCTTTTAACTTAGTTGCTTTTAGAGCTGAAACTCGCTCTTTTTGTCCCGTTCAGGTACCTACGCGACGAATGCGACGAGCTGGCAAGGTATGTGCTAAAAAAAAACCCCCTCATTTGTCTCCGCGTGTTGGGGTGCCCTGCTCAGCCTCTCCAGTTGGCTGCGGCGAGCGGAGCTGTTTTCCAGCTCATAAACTGTCTGTGCTTGGAAGTCGGCGTGAAGTACGCAACGCCGTGCTTTTAAACCGCTCCTCCTCGCTAGTTCGTTGATGTACTTTTACCTTGCTCCGTGATTGTGGCATTTTCTTCTTCAAAGGGAATAGCTCTGTCCTGGTGACTGGTGGCCGTCTGTTCCTTGAAGTAGAAAAACTAGCTCGTGGATGAGAAAAGTTCATTTCTTTTACCTCTCCGTTTCTCGTTTGATCTGGGACAGCCAGATCGATTAATAAATTGATTTTACTGAGATTATGTTGTTTTCCCCTCAAAACCCAAGGTTGGTCCTCGTAATTCTGGCAACTTGACGGTACGCAAGCGCAGTTCTCGCTGTGCGAGCTGGCACTTCTTCCAGAAAATACGATTTGTCTTCGTTAATAAACTTTTCCTCTCAGAGCAGTTAGTTAGTTGGCCTTGATTTGGATCGTATGGCTGTTTTAAGCCCATCTTAACGCATTCCCAAGCAAAAGCCCAAGATTCTTTTATAAAATATTATTTTTTTGGTCCTTGCAATATAAAACTGAACCCTGCACGTGGGGCTATGAATTCAAACCTCCCGGCTCAAGTCACTGGTGAAAGTGAAGGGCTTTTTCTTCTATTATTCCTCTTTCTCATAAAGCCCGGGCGTCTCCGTCAAGGACTCGCGCCCCGTTGTGTTGAGCGTTGTGCCAACGCAGAGCAGAAATGCTGTTCCTGCTCCGGAACGCTTCTAATTGAAATAAAGCGTTATTCAACGCTTTATTTTGGGGAACAAGAATCTGTGATATTTCTCACTTTAAGAAACCAGATTTCTTTTCAAGGAGGTTAAACCCAGCTGCAGCCTTGCCTGGTAGGATCCATTCACATCTGAACCCTTCTTCCTGATACCTGTGTCTAGAATAATGTATTAATATCAATTTTATTCTCCTTTCCTGCCAGGCTATGAAGGCTACGACTATTACAACACCCAAACCACCGCCGCTAATACAGCGGCCACGTACAACTACGCCGCAGCCGCTGCCACTTCCAGCAGCTGGGAAACACCCAAGACTTCGGATATGAGCATGAACGCCGACGTCAACGCCACCATGCCCGTCCCCTCGTACGGTGCCGAGACTTCGGCAAACGAGAACTCGGATTCCATCATAGCCAAGATCAACCAGCGTTTGGATATGCTGTCGAAGGAGGGCAGCGGCGGGACAGGGGAGGGGATGGAAGACCAGGAGAGGTGACTGTTCCACTTCTTACTTATTTTTAATAGTAAAAAAATAATGGCTTCTAATCAGTATAACTTCAGTTTAAGCTGTTCTGATTGCGCGGGCACGATCCCGCGTTTGTTCCCTGGAAAATGAGCTTTAACCGCTTATTTTGTACTTGTCCTGATACATTTGTGCGCACATACACGTACGTATTTTATATATATACACCTCAAACATACCAAACTTGGTGTACACCTCAACTATTAAAAGCAGCTTCCAGTGTCGATTGAATTCCGAGATTTTGCTGACCGTTTTTAGGATTCTTACAGTATCTCTTCCTCCGTGTCCCTTTTTCCTCATGACTGTCTGGTGATTTTTCCTTCTTCTCCCACTGGGTTAAATTACGCCAGACTGGAGACGTGTTTCATATCGGTGCGTGTTTTGCTGCTGAAATAATACAGATCCTGACAAGAGTTACTGAATAAATGAAGTTGTGCCCTTTTTTTTTTCCCCCCTTTTTTGCCATTTGACGCTCGCTGCTGCGGTCAGACGAGGTGCTGGGGCGTTCCTCTGCGTTAATTCACACCCGGAGGCACAGCTAAGAGACAACAAGAAGCAGTTTTTACCTGGGGAAGCTTTTGGGATCTGCTTTTCTGCTGGCAAAACATAATTCAGAGTGGTTTAGTGGTAGAAAGTTAGTAAGGTTATGACCTGTGCGAAGGATTTCTGTTCAGACACTCGTGCAGAAAACCACAGATGTTTGATCCTTATTTATTTTCCTCAAGACTAAGGAAACAGTCATGTGGGATCAGAAAGTGATCGCGATGCAGTGTTTAAAAATGTTTTTATTCTGTTTTTCTGGTCCGAAAACACTTGGATTGTGATTTAAAATGAATGCAAACGCCTGCGTGCTGTGCATGGTTGATGTTTTAGCTGCTGACTGTTGTCTCCTCCTGCACAGCTCTTTCAGATTCGAGTCTTTCGAATCGTACGACTCGAGGTCTTCGATGAACGACCGCGACATGTACCGATCCGGCTACGATTACGGAGAAGTCGCAACCGATCGAAACGATTCCTTCGGGAGCCAGTTTGACAACCGCAGGGATCAATCTCGTAACCGAGGAAACAGCTACGGCCTCATCCGAGGCCGGGGTCAAAACCGCGTTCAAAATCGAGGCCGTCTGAACGCTTTCAACCGCACCGACCACTTCATGCCTTCCTCCAGCTCCGAGCGCCTCTCGGCTCGTTGGAATGAGTTGAACTACATGGGTGGGCGTGGGATGGGGGGTGCCGGATCCAACAGGCTCCCTTCCCTCTTTTCCCAAGCCCTTGTGCCCGACTACGGAGATTACGGCGACTACGGAGATTACGGCGACTACGGCGACTATGGGGATTACGGTGATTATGGCGACTACGGAGATTATGGTGACTACGGAGACTATGACTATGGCATGATGGGGATGTCGGGCATGGGAATGGGACGGTATGGGAATATGCCGTACGGAATGGGGAGGCAACGAAACAGAGACAGGATGGGTACGGTGCCCTGGCACATGAACGCGCTCATGGTAAGTCGTCACCGTTGGTTTTTTTTCTTGTGCAGATTGCTGTTTTGCTTGCCTCGGTGGGTAGGCTTCACTCTTCGGCTGTACTGGAGAAGCACCCGTCTTAATTCACGTTGCTTCCACCACGGAATAATTTAAATCTTCCTGGATAGAGCAGAGAGTCACCGAGCTTGTGTATACCCATTTGCACTTAAAGTGGAGCCTCTGAATGCTTATCCCAGCCCAAATCCGCTCTCTAGGGGCACTAACCCAGCTATAAGTCTGGCAGAAAATCCTTTTATAGCCAAAAATAAGTTTGCAGGGTCACAAGAATTAGCAGATGGGTGGAATACTTTGATTTTTAAGCTTTTCTTGGTGCCTACAGTTGATAACTACTGATTTCTTCCCACTTCAGCCCAAGAGAAGAGGTTTCCGAAACCGATCGGGAGGGCGATCGGACGGTGAGGGAGGAGGACGCAAGCGAAAACAGTCGCAAAGCGGCGATGAGCCGGACAGCAAACAAGCAAAGAGCGACAGCGAAGGAGACGACACCGAGAACGGTACGAGCCCGTCTTCAGCCACTAATATTGGCCATTTTCCCCTTCTTTTAAGTGTTTTGTCTTTCAACTGACTGACAGCAGTTAACGTTTCAAAGCTGTTGGTTTTTTTAGTTGTTAGCGTCGTTCTAATACTCCTGCAAGTGCACAGGTTTTATATAATATAAATTTAATGCCCGAGGTGAGCACTGTGAAAGTAAAGACAGACTTTGCAGCAGAGGCTGATGGGCAAAGAGAAATCAGTGAGCCGTTTGCGATCTTCACTGGGGTTTTGAGCCGTTATCGCAGCGTTTGGTGATTTTATTAGATACCAGTGTGGTCCCTTGGAGTGTTAAGTGGAGAAAAGAACCCGCAACACCAGCTGAATGCTTTTTCTTTTGTGCAGCAGATGAGGGCGAAGGAGAGGAAAAATCAGGAGATGAAGCTGACAAAGGTGTAAGTAACTTTTTTTTTAATCGGTCTTTGGGACAAATGTGTGAATATTTAAGCACTTGAGCAGTTTCCTGTGCTCTTTTGACTGTTCTGAGGGTTGGAATGTTTAAAATCACCCAGAAACAGCATTTTGAGCCCGTATATTTGGAAAATATTTGTTCCTCGTAATTTCCCCATGCCCTTCAGCGGGGATTGCTGGCAGTTCGCTTGCACTGAGGTACCTGAAGAGCATGTGTAGGGGAAAGGTTGGGATCCTGCGCCTCTACTTCTGCCTCTGGCGAGGCTCGTTAGGGCTAAATTCCAATTAGTGGTTGGTTTCTTTGCTCGTCGGTTGGTTTGGCGGGTTGGTCGTTGCCATTTGTTTTACTTGTGACCGCGTGTCACCTTTGGTACGGTGTTCCTCGGAGCGGCGACTCAGCTGCCAAGTGTTTAAATGTTGATGGCGAGAAGCGATACTGAGCGGCGATACATAACCTGCTGTATGGAAAACAACTATTTTTAAAACGTTTCTAAAAATGGACATTTAATTCCCAGATGACAGAGCCCTTTGCCCGCTCTGCGGTCTGGCTGGGTGGACCATAAAACCTTCAAATCGCGGTTATAATAACACCTGCGTCTTTCTGTGTTTCTCTTTTCCAGGAGAACGGGACTTGGGGCGATTTGGCAGAGGAAGGTGGGGTGTCCCGGACTAATCCTACTCCGAATCCATCTGCTTCGCCTCGGGGCACTATTGAGAACTCGGAATTTTTTCGGTCAAAAGCTGATGCAGTTCCTGCTGTGACCTGTTGACTGGTCCAGGCTCCGGCGCTGCCTGCCGTGGCGCAGAAGTGCCGTGCTGGTTAGAAAGGGAGCACAGAAAGGTTTCGTTTCTTCTGGGCTTCTCGGCGCGGACGGTTGCCGCCTGTACGAATGGGTATCGGATATTAGTTTATCATCCCGCCCCGCTTGGAGGACGGCGGTGAGGATGCACGTCTCGCAACAGGGCAGAGCGAAAATACCGTGAACTAAATAATTTTCCGTGGAGGCTCCAGTCACTGGGCTAAACCCTGTTTTGTTTTGGTTTTTTTCCAGATAGATGAGAATATATCAAGGTATATTAGAACGCTAATTTAAAAACTATGGGCTAAAGTAGCTGAAACCTCTTCAGCTGGTTTTGGGTTATAATTTTTGGTAAAGACACATCAACCCCAAGCATGTTGTACCTTCTGCATTAGAGTGACTTGGGGGAAACCATGTGTAGGACTTTTGTTGCCATTTTTAGGTTGTTTTCAGGATTGAAACCGAGCTGGATGTTAAAAATCCTCATTTAAGCCATCCTCTGATGCCCAGGTCTGTCTCTGGGCTTCTTTTCTTGAACACCTCGCAGGTGAATTATTATCTGAGTCCTGTGAGACTGATAGACCTCTGACTCAGGGCTTTCTACCCCAAAACACTGCAGAGATTAGCTCAGCTGAATCTTTAGTTCAGTTTTTGCTTTCTTAACTGTTATCAAGGAATTACTGGGAAGGTGACCTGAGGAATATATCCAAAACCATCCCAAGGACGCAGAACTGCTACTGGAGTACTGCTGGCATCTCTGCTGTCTTTCGTTGCTTAACTTTCTTGAGTAGCGTTTTCAGCCTTGTGAAAAATAGGTGAACGGGGAAAAAAATGAGAATTTGGGGAGAAAGTAGCACTTCCTCCCAAGGAGGGGAGATGGAGAGCTGACTTTTGCAGCATCGTTAAGTCAGGACTTTTTCCGCTCTTTTCACTAATGGCATGTCCCGTCGCTGCCTACAAAGACTTTTGAGTTGCTGTGGGAAGTTCAGGGAGCTGGAGGAGGGAGGGTTTGGATTTTACAATAACTGCGGGAGACCTTGGAATGCGATCGGAAGCTGGCTTGGGAGAGGGAGAGCTTCCAGAGACCAAAAGAAGTGGTGACTTCCCGAAGCCAAGAGTAAAGAGGAAACCAAAGGATTCGGGTCCCAAAATAGCTCAGCCGGCAAAGTGGGTGATTGTGAACACAGTAATTCTGATGTTTATTTGTTTTTTCCCTCCCTCAGCGTCTGGAGATGGCTGTGAAGATGACGACGAGGAGGTGAAAAAGAAGAGGGAGAAGCAGCGGAGAAGGGATCGGATGCGTGATCGTGCCATGGACAGGTAAGGAAAGTGATAAGCCAGTCCGCTCCCAGCACTTCCATGAATAATATTTGCCGAGGATATTCCTCTTCCACATGTGGGAGAAATCTGAAGTACTGAGGGTTTTTTTGGGCTCTGAATTCTGATTTCAGCAGGTTTTTTTCCTGTTTTTGTGTGATTTATGACTGTTTTAAGATGAGAACACTGCGGTGTTTTAATACATACATCAGTGTATAGAGTTATTAATTCAGAAGGGTGTTTTAAGTGGCTACATATGCAGCCTTGCTACTAAAAAATAAGTCATCTAAAGAAAACTAACCAGCGAAGGCGGCACCAGCATTTCTGTATGTCTTCCCACACCAGGGAGAGGATCTTCATAGCGAACGATTCACCTCCTGCCCTCTGAATTTCTCCAGTTGCTTTTAGAACTCGTGGAGGATTTTAGCATCCACTCCGTAGCATAAAGTTTTATGGAGCAGTAGATGCTGTTTAATCTGTGCAGGTTTTACAGCGATTATAAAGGTCCAAGACAAAATAGAATTATGTGGGGTGGCACTTGGAAAAAACTAAGGGGTAGAGAACTAGAGGGGCTGTAATGGTTTCATCATCTTGGTGTTCCTGTTAAGCTGAGCTCGTTCCTCATTTGTGGTACGATTGCTCTGTTTAGAATCCAGTTTGCCTGTTCCGTCTGCAAGTTCCGCAGTTTTGAGGAAGAGGAGATCCAGAAACACCTCCAGAGCAAGTTTCACAAGGAGACCTTGCGATACATCGGTACCAAACTCCCGGACAAAACCGTCGAGTTTCTGCAGGTAGGCGGGTTGCCTGGCGTTAGCTCAGCCCTTCCCTGCATCCATGCTGTGAGTGCCAGGCTTAATTTGGGAGTGCCAGGCTTAATTTGGGAGTGCCAGGCTTACACAGGGACTGGAAGAGGTTACAAATTCATCCACATACAGCCCCCTGTTCGGTTAGCTCGCATCACCGCTTGTTAACGCATCGCCCAATGACATCGCTTTGCGCGACATGATTTCTCACAGGTTTTTGTGTTGGGAGGGAAAGTTAATGGTATGAATGTGAACAGAAGGGCCAGAAATTAATTTTCCGGAGATGGTCTTCGCCATCTACACATCTAGAGCTGAGGAAGGAGAGAGAAAGACCGGGGTGTTGTATTTTCTGGGTGACCAGTGTTTGCATTTTGGGGGCGTTTTTCAAGGATTTGGTGTCCCCCCACCCAAGGGATCTGATGGTGATGGGGGAGTGGACTTACGTTTGGCTCCGGTTTAGACCCTTATGGCTCTTGCTCAGGTAGAAATGACAGGGAACAGGGAGGAGAAAACACCTGGCTTGTCTCGTTCATTTGCCGACCGCAGTCTTCCCTGCGGGTTTTCTCTGGAGAACTCCTTTCACTTTTGAGCTACTCGATCGTCTCGGCGCATTGTGAGGGGGACAGCGAGTTTTATCCTCTTCCCTTCTAGGAGTACATCGTCAACAGGAATAAGAAAATTGAGAAACGGCGCCAGGAGCTGACCGAGAAAGAGGGAACAAAACAGAAGCCGGATCCTTTTAAGGGTAAGTGTCCGTCTTGCGTCCGGAGACTGAGTGAGTGTGCAAGAAAGCCAGGAAGCATTGCTCCGAAAGAGATACAGCGGCACAAACACAAAGGATTTGGGTAACTCGCCCTCAGGTTTTGCCAACTTTGTGAAGTAAATCGTCTTGGTGGGGAAGGGGGAATGCTTATCCTCGCTGCAGTTTCTCAAGCAGCAGGTGCATGAGGCTCGTGCAATGTCCGAGATACTAAAATTAGGTAAATTGGGAAAAACTCTCAGGAATTGTTAATTTTTGTGGCTCTTCGGTTAATGCAGCTGGATCCCGCGTTCATTTTAACGTTAAAAGAAAGTGGCAAAGTTGATCCGTTGTGACAACAAGCGTCATGGGGTAAAATCTGCTTGGCTTCGTCAACGTGTCCGTCCCCGATACGGTTTTCAACACGCGGCCACGTTTGTACTGGGAGCGATGAGTGGAGTTTAGTTAAGCCACACGTCGGCTATAAAACCTTGCAGGTAGAAAACCTGAGCCTAAGTAGAGAGGAGGAACAAACCCAGAGCTGGGGGAAGCACGAGTTGTCCCTTTCACCTTTATTAAATAGATTTTTGGAGAGGCAGGCTGGTTTAGGGAGAAAAATAGCCTTGGGTAAGTGGATTGCTTTGTACCTCGGGTTCTTATCCCCGTCTTTCTTCCTCCTACGCTTGGGTACTGTGTCCGTACCACCTGTTTTAGAGCAGAATAACTCCTCCCTGTCTTAGAGCCACGTATGTGGTGGGGATTTTTTTTCCTCTTTGAAAGCAGAAACTGGAAGGAATACGGGTGCTGAATTAGTGCCTTGGTCGTGACACGAGGTCGTTAGAGTGGGTGGAAAGGCAACGTTAACCGGCCGAACGTCTCATTTGTTTGGGATTTTGGCCGACGTCTTGTCGTCGCTGTAGGTATTGGCCAGGAACACTTCTTCAAGAAAATCGAGGCGGCTCACTGCATGGCGTGCGACATGTTAATTCCTGCGCAGAACCACCTTCTCCAGAGACACCTGCGATCTGCCGATCACAACAGAAACCGCAGGGTAAGCAACCCCGTTCGCTTCCCAACCGGAGCGTTTCACCTCTGCCGGGGTCAGGGGATGTGTTCGGGCGCTCGAGGTTTACTTGCGGCTTCTAGAAAACCCTCTTGTACGGTTTCGGATCGTACCACGAGATGAAAGCTGCTGACTGGGGAACTATAAGGGGGTGTGGGATGCTGGCGGATGGGCTGTGCAGGGTTTGTTCTTCGGATGAGAAATGGGGAACAGAAAAAGTGAAAAAGAAAACAGAAAAAGGGAGATCTGGCCTTTTCTTTCGCGCTGGGGGTTTAGCAGGGTACATTGTCCAGGCAGACTGCGTAAATGTGCAGGGTAAATGCTTCCTCTTTCTAAAATTGCAGTCCTTGCCAGAAATTAAAATTAAAAATTGCCTTTGAGGGTGCTTGGGGAAGTCATAAATGAGACGGAATCGATGTCTAAATTGGCAGAGGCTGGAGAGGGGCTTTGGACGACGCAGGTGGAGATGGGGTGAGCCGCAGTCAGCGCCGCACGTCTCCTCTGCCTTTGGGTGTTTGATGTGAAGGTCCTTGTCCTGGGCTTGGTCTCAGGATATTTGTGGGTGGTTTTTTTTTGTTTGTTTTTCTTTCTTCCCCCCTCCTGGGGTTTGAGATCAGCCTTCCCAAGCCCTGCAGAGGAGGAGGGAATGCAAACTTTCAAGCCCGGCTCCTTGTTCGAACTCTTCCCCTCTTGAACTGAGCCCGATGTTCGGTTCCCTTTGCAGATGGCTGCAGAGCAGTTCAAAAAGACCAGCTTACACGTCGCCAAGAGCGTCCTGAATAACAAACACATCGTAAAGATGCTGGAAAAATACCTCAAGGTGAGTGAACGAGAGAGTCAACAGCTCCTGGCGACTTCCCGGAGCAGCACGGAGCCGCGTCTCGCTGTGTGCTGCGTGTCGGTGACGGGACGCCCCGGTGCGTACGATGGGGAGAAGCGTAGGTTCCACTCCGCTGCCTTTTTTTCTCTAAATCTTGGGCCTGGTTTCTTTTCTCTGTAGGCGGTTTACCACTTCTCGTGTTTTGGTTTTTTGTTTTTTAATTTATTTAACTCGCAGGCTGTACCTACTGTCGTTCCCAGGCGCGTGTAGATACCATTTACGAAACCGTCCAAAACGGAAACGTAATTAAAGAAAACAGAATAGCAAAAGGAACTCCAAGCTCCCCAAAGCCACCCCTAGAGCTGTGGCCTTTGTGGGGGGACACACCAGCTTCCCCCCTGGTGCAGGGAAACCGGCACGTGGGTCGGGAAGCCACCGCTTCTGAGTCCCGCCGGGATGGAATCCGACGCGGGTGGCTCCTGGCCCACCCGCTAACCCTGCACCGGAGGCGAGGGGCGAGGAGTTTTTACCCCATCTAACGAGCCGGGCTCTGCGGCGCTCCCGGCAGCTCAACCAAATGACAAAGCGCCCCGAGGCGAGGTGCATCCAATTCCCCTGAGTTGAAACACCCTCGTTGGCCCCATCCCCCCTTTTTTTTTCTTTTTTTTTTTTTTTATTCCCTCCTCTTCCCTTGGGAAGTGGCAGAGAACACCCCAGTCGATCTTCAGAGCCGAGATGGAGCACGAGGAGAGGTCAGGGTAGGGTTCATTTAAGCCCAAACCAGCGTTCGGAATTACTGAAAGAAGCCCGGAAGGCGAGCGCAGTCTTCAGAGCGTGGCGGGTAATCCGTTCCGTGCGGGAACGCCGCCGAGCGAGCCAGCCGGGCGGTTATGCCTGGCCTAAAGCGTCTCGCGGTAACCGTGGGTCCGGCGTGGGTTTAACGGGCGAGATCCACATCCGAAAAAAAAGAGAGAGGGAAGGTCGCAACCTCCTCCGCCAGGCGAAGATCGAAAAGAAGCGCTTTTGGCTACTTGCTTGTTCCCTGGGAATCCGGGAGCAGCCCAGGATCCGGCAGGAGAGAACCCCTTGTTTGCGAACCTGGCAGACAAGGGCAGGCAGATGCCCACACACACACCCCCGTCCCCTCAAGCCGCGGGGGAGCGGACGTTTCCCCTGTCCCACCGGCGTCATGGTTTTATTTTTGGTCTAAACCCGGACTGAGCTAGCTCTCGTCATACCCGGTCTCTGCTAAAATCTTAACAAAACAAATAAAAACTGTGACTCCACCCTCTGGGTCCAGTGAAAAAAGAATTTGAGCTGAGAGTTTGTCGGCGTAGGATGGCCGTCTCTCCCCTTAAACCGGCCTCTCATACACGTTGAACAGGAGGGTGAGATATAAAAACCCTGCGGTACCCCACAGGAAGGATGAGCCCTCGGGGCAGACGAGGTGCAAACCTCTGGGATCTCTCAGAGAAATTAAAAAAAAAAACAAAAAACAAACCAAAAAACAACAAAACACAATAAAAATAAAAATAAACCCCAAAAAGACCGGAACCACTCAAGTGCAACTCCGTCTACCCCTGCCAGGGTCCGCAGGCACGTCCACATCTCCTCATGATCAACGGTATCAAAGGCTGCCGGCAGATCTAAATGAGTCAGCACGGGCACCTGACCTTTGTCCATCGGCAGGAGGAGATCTTCGGATCCATCCCAGCACGGTCTCCGTATCATTCCCAGGTGCAAAACCAGACTGAAAAGGGGTGGAGGAAAATCTGAGGATTCCAGGTAATGCCAAGAGCCGCCTCGCCATAAACGTTCTCGGCAAACCTTCCCCCCGGAAAGGAAGGCCGGAGACGCAGGGCGATTAATTAATCAAGACTTGGCCGCATCAAGAGATGATTTCTTGACCATCGGCCTAACGATTCCTCCTCGGAGGGATGGCGGGACACCTCGCCCTTCCCAAGGGAAGCCGTGACAGTCTCCACCACGAGTGGACTTCACATCCCCCGGTAGATTTTACCGGCGATAACGGACGTTTTGGGGTCCAGATCGCGAGGTAGAACCCGCTATTTTGCTCTCCCGCCCCGCCCAAGCCCCTCCGTGACCTCCGTTAAGTGTGATCCTCAGCCAGAGAAGATGAACGTTGAGGTTTCTCCTCCGCCTGCATGGACCTTCTCGCGTGCAGGCAGCCAGCCTGGTCTGAACCTCTGATCGAGGCAGGTATTGACCCCAGGGGCAGGAGGGGAAAAAGGGAGGAAGGATCTGGAAAGCTGGTGGGGGTTTTTTTTCCCCCCTCCCTCTGGCTTTCCGGAAATAAAACCCCTCTTGCCCGTCGCCGCGGTCGATCAGATTTCAGGCGAGGTTTCTGCCGGCACGCCGCCCTCCCGCTTTCCCTTCCCCGCGCTATCGTGGTGACCCGTGAGGGCAGGGAACGGAAAAAGGGAATTTTAGCAGCACGGTTTATCCTCGGATTGCAGCAGGGGTGTGTGTGGGGCATCTCCTCTCTGGCAAGGTCAAGGTTATAGGGCAGCACCATCCCTACTTTGACCCTACAAGCGCTCAGCCCCACACCTCGTAACTCTTGAAACGCAAGCAGAATCCCCGCCGGAACCGAGGGGGAGCGGTGCTGGGATCCGCTCTCGGCTTGAATAAAGGTAACGAGGTCAAAAATCAAACCTAAAAAACCCACATAAAACCTAAAAAAAGAAAAAAAAAAAAAACCAAAACCACCCAAATCCCACAATGTGGAGGGTCTTGGTGTTCCCAAGAGACCCCTCCTGGTAGGACGTAGCGTGGGAGAGAGCGAGGCCTGCGAGGTTACGACCGCGTCTGGATTCCTCCATCTCCCGAAAAGAAAAATAATAAAACTAAAAAGGCGAGATGAAAACGCGGCAGCGTCGCCGCT